AAGTCTTAATTTAAAACAGTTCCCATCACCTATCGATGGTATTCTAATTTATTGTGACACGACCAAGGCAATGCCGCGACCTATCGTTCCCAAAAATATGCGAAAGCTGATATATAATAACTTTCATTCTTTGTCTCATCCTGGCGCGAAAGCTTCAACAAAACTAATCAATGGCAGATATATATGGCCGAATTTACAGAAGGATGTACACAAATGGGTTAGAGAGTGTTCGGCATGTCAACAATCAAAGATTAATCGTCACACAAATTCACCCATAGGTGTTTTCTCGCAACCAGATGCACGTTTTGCCCATGTGCATATCGACTTGGTAGGTCCTTTACCACATTCAAACGGTTTTAATTATCTTTTTACATGCATAGATCGATTTACCAGATTCCCTGTAGCCATCCCGATAGCGGACATCACAGCGGAAACAGTAGCCAAAGTTTTCATGCAGAACTGGGTAACCAATTTTGGTACACCCATAACAATAACGACGGATAGAGCAGCGCAATTCGAATCCGAACCAATTAATAACTTGGCTAAACTTCTAGGCTCCAATAGGATACGCTGCACTGCATATCATCTTCAGGCTAATGGGATGGTAGAACGTTTTCACCGTCAGCTAAAAACCGCCCTTATATCTCACTCAAACCCCAATCAGTAGACAGAATTCCTACCATTAGTTATGTTGGGAATACGAACATCTGTCAAAACTGACGCACAGTGTTCAGCTGCGGAACTGGTTTTCGGAACAACTCTGAGACTACCAGGTGAATTTATTAACCCCAATACTAACAGTCAAAAACTTAATTTAGGAAACTACGTAGATCAACCACGGGACCATATGTCCAAACTTAAGCCAATTATTACTCGCGAACAATCGCGCGCCGTATATGTACCTAAAGACTTAAGCAATTGCACGCACGTCTGGATAAGATGTGACATAATAAAAGCACCACTCAGTCCTCCATTTGAAGGTCCTTTCAAAGTCGTCTCAAGAAAATCTAAATATTTCGTGATAGAAAAACATGGAAACATCGACACAGTAGGTATTGATAGGCTAAAGCCGGCTTATCTAGATCATGAACCACCATACGTGTTGTTAGATCGTTTAACTGACAAATCCATTACGGAATCGAAATGTAAAGATGATAAATCTTTACAAATGACTAAAACGGTTCGCTGGGCACATCCAATTAGTCAGTCAAGGATGTTGACAGTTTCGGCTGCAGGATAAAATCTAACCACGTAGCTAATCACACCCTGCATCTACTTAAAAATAACTTTTCTTCTCATTCCGCCTCACCTACAACTCCCCAGACCTTTTGCCTTTGATATATAAGTGTTATGTTAAATATTTTTTTAAATACTGGACACATAAGCTAGGTATTCCGAAACGATGGCTGATGATTTTAATCAAACTCATACAACTAACACTGGCAAATACAACGAATTCAAAAAGCAACCCAGGCGAGTTTTATAATTTCTTTTACTGGTTAATTAACTATGTTGGCTGTACTTCTTATATATCTATATACATTTTTCACGTAGACTGGCTATACATAAATACCATATGAACTAATTCTAAAAGTTCTCGGTCGAAGATATGTTTAGTAGCTTGATACGATTAATACTACTGTAGTGACTCACATTTATCACGAGAACACGACTGGTTTAATAAAAACAATTATTATTATAACCAACTGTACCAGTGCTTGTTTTAATGTGCTTTTGTTTGACTGTGCTAATGACAGCTGTATTGTGCTTCCATTCTTATACTTACACTTTGATAGTAATCTCGCGCGAATTCGGTTGCGTTCTGTAACCAAGCTTGTATCCTGGCACGATCTCGGTATCCTTTCGATGCCACGAGATCGCCAGTGAATATATCTCGATTTGGTCCATTAACTGTCTTCTGATATTTGGCTTCTCGGGGATTTAATGGATCTATTTGGTTACGTTCGACCTTCGCCTTCTAATTCATTTGGCACATGTTTCTTGGTAGCGGTGTTCATAGTTAACCTCAACTCGACGCCACGCCACACTACTATTAATAATTGTTTTTTTAGACAAAACATATTGCATTAAACCATGGTCAAGTACTTAATAAAGTTCTCATCATTTTTTTCCATGTTTAGGAAACTTGCGTAATGACTTAACCAGTTTTTCTGCAGCATGCCTTTTAGTGTGATCATATAACCCATCTTTATTGGTAATATTCAGATTTTTTTTAAATTTCTGACATTTAAGAATCAATAACCGTGAAGATATAGTACAGTGCGTTACTATAAGGTTACTATGTTAGCCGCGTTGATTCCACATACCTAATTTTAAACACAACTTATAAAGGAACTGTCAAGTAATCATAAAATTGAACTGATGATATGACTATCGTGGCTATGTTAACGTTAAACCAATTATTATTAGTAGTCCATACAAAATCCTGGAACTTAACACTAGCGTTATAAAAAAGACATGTTATGTCAATAGCTTATATATATATATATACTTTTCTTCTCGTTGGTTTAATTATAACGTAAAATGGAAATCTACCAAACTTGTAGTTTTTTTTATAGTATTATTATTGATACAAACAAAGAACTTGTACTGTTCCAATATGGCACTTTGACATATCAATCCGTCCACCTGTTATCTTTCTCTCATATCTGAGCAACTTATGGCCAACAAACATCGTATTGAAGGGGGTTTTGGTGAACAAAAACGTTAGCCCCACACGCACTCGAACTTCTGCCCTCCTGAATGCTGGACCGTGTGCCTAGCCATCAGACCACATCAAACCACTGCAATTTTTCCTTTTACCGACTAATCATTCATAATACTAATGAGTAGTAGGACTTACACACTTCTGAGGTGCAAACCAATTCGTTACTTGGATGAATTGACGAAATATTGCTTCAATACATCATGCATACCTAAATCAAACAAGAAAAGGGTATTTGACACAACTGTACTTGATCTGCATACTCTACACAATTTTTTTGCTTCTTAACCGTATATTCTTTTCCGTTTTGTGGATTACTCTGATGCACCCTTGGTTACGCACCTAGTTGTAAAAGGCTGTCATCACAGGCTCAAGGTCATGTATTTGATCGATTTTGTTAAAGAGTCCAACTTCTAGCAAGTTCACCCTTTTACATATATGCATTACAAAAGAGTATTTTCTTGTTTTCATGGTTTTTCGTGCACAAGATATCTACATTATGTCTATTTCCTTCTAGAATACCAATCCGTTCTGGAGGCCGAGCACTTACATGGAACCGAACAATTATCAATTACATTTATGTATTTCCATTTTGTATCTTATTATTTTATGCAGGCAGTAGAGCAGTTCTTCAGGTGTGATTGGTTTTCACCATTACCTTTGAAGTAGATTCTTCTTTACTTTTTACTTGGGGGGGACTAAAGAGGCAGGTGAATAAACACCTGATAGCCGGTCTGAGCATGGAAAAATCGTACCTCACCAACATGGTGTTGGGTAGCCCGCTCGCGGCACTTCCTCAGATATTCTTATTCCACATTCTCACACTCTTTCTCTTGAAAGCACGCAGCAAACCGTCAGCGATAGTTGTAGAATAGATCACATGCTACAAAATAAGATGACAAGCTAGTAAATGAGGAGACATCCATGGAATATCGTTGACAGCGGTAGTCGTCACTGATTGTAAGTCAAATAGTGAGCGAGTTGATAATTTTCCCTTGGGATGAGAAATAGAACTAAGGTGTTTTCGATACATAGGTTAATCGAACCGACGTTCCTACGGAAGTCGATTCTAGGAGGAAGCTAATGTAACAGCTCAGTTTGGTTGGTTAAGAGTTGACCCCAAACAACCAAGTATATGCCAAAACAGTATTGTTCAAGTATTCATTCACTTCCTTACTTTTTATAAGCGTTATATTCCCTATTATCTTATATTGAATGTTGAGAGCCTTTGTTTGTCTGAACAGATAATCCCACACTCCACTGTGACTGCGCGAAGATCGAAATGAAGACCTATTCACTACTTGTCTGGTTTCTTCTATCAATAGTACGAGGGTTACCAGAAGGCACGAAATATACACTAGTGCAAACTAGGAATCCTAGAAATAACGAAATTTAATATAGAAGTACTAGATAAGCACGAACGAAGGTACTGTATTTGGAATTCGAAATCAAGCATTCAACAAGCACAAAGGAATCGTTAGTTCATACAAACACCACAAATATCTAGCTTCACTATAAGTGTATTCATAACAGCGACATTCAACACAGTTGTCAGCTCAGTCAATCATACGGTCCACAATAAATCAGTATAAATTATGATAACAGTATGTTAGCGAAGTTGAAGTATTGAAACTGCTGACGTTCGTTCTTTCGTATCGGAGTTGCGACGTAAAGCACTCATTTGTATGTTTTAGTTAGGTCAGAGGATAGTGAGCAGTAAGAACTTTCACAGAAGGTACACTTATGAACAAAAAACGATGTTTGATATATCAACCGAAATTATACCATTAATACAGGCAAACTTCTAATGATATTAGTATGAGCGCCAACTTTAACATTTACCACCGAAGGAACGATATGAAAATTTATTCCAAAACAAATACGATCATCTAAATCTGGATTTCTAAAGAGGTGACCTACAACTAGCTGAACGTGCACTCAAATACTATTTGCTGATTGCATCGTCTTTATTTCGAATCCTTTCAGAAAGCATATCGAGCAAATAGTGTGTTGTCCACACTTTTGGTACCAACTCGGCACATCCACTCTGTGGCTAACCACACTTCTCAAGGCTGCATCCAACTTCATAGTTAATTCCAGTAGTACCAACATGACTACGATTCTAGGAGGACTAAAACAAAAACTTTCTACTTTTCATCTGTTTATGATCATATTGGAAGTCATATTACATCCACACATACCAGACTTCAGAGGCTCCAATAACTGTAGGCTTCATGGTATGTAAATACTGCATAAGTATATTCTTTGGTGGCACATATAACAAAGACACTCGAAATTATGTAAACCTCAAAAAACGTACTCAACATTATGGAGCTTATCATAAATATAAATAAAGTAATAAGGCATCCTCGTATGATGGAATCATTCTTCTACAACTCGAAGATGTCTGTATTACATCATAGTTCTAACGATGTTTGCCATTTCAAAAATCTTATATATGTCACTACTACACATCAGTGATGAGCTTTCTATTCAATAACAGGCGAAACAAGTTCATCCCTATCTTTCCCACCATAAATATAATCCATTTGAGAATCTTTCGGTTGAAGTATAATATAGTGAAGATCTGTAGTGGCTCATCAATCAGTCTAGAAACGCTGAATGGTTACAGAACAGTAACAATAAAATAAAGTAAAATAATAGGGTTATAGCAGTTTTGACGTTCACGTGCCAACTTATCATTTGTAGAAAAGGAAGAAAGTCAAGCTTACATATTGGGTATCGAGACATTATTCTTAGTTGAGATTGTCAATCTACAGGAATTTCATCATTAACTGACATCACTTTTAGGGTTGTAGCGTGGTGTCGAGTTGTGGTTGACTATGATCACCACTACACTGAATCTACGTGCCAGTTACTGTGTTAGATCCCTTCACAGGCCAAAGATCGGAAGACAATTGACGGTCTTTATAAGGCATATTTGTTGGCAATCTCGTGGTATCGAAAGAACACCGAAATCGTGACAAAGAGTACAAGTGGAACTACTGAGCGTTACCGAGAGCGTGCAAGTTCACAGTCAACGGAAGAATGTATGTTTCTAGTACAGTTAAACAAACAAGTACAGTAAAACAGTAACTGGAACAATTGGTTATAATAATAATAGTTGTTTCCATTATACCAATCGCGTTCACTTGGAAAAAGTAGGTCACTACACACTTATGATGGTAAAAGGTTTGAGTTAGGCATTAAGAGTAAGGAGATAGTTTCCAGTTAAATATGCAATTTAAAGTTGGGGTATTTGTCGTACACTGACCTCAAGTATAATGCAATCCTTTTCCATGCTGCACTTTCATGAACTTACAACTTGAACAGTATGTTAGAGAGGTAAAATATTATCCGGCTTCTTCAAAAACATATAGAACTCAAAACAACTGTCAACCAATATCAAAGTCACAATCCTCAATACGAAAATCAAGACAGTTCTAAAGTACTCAGCTGAAACGTAGAGAAGTACCACAACCGTTATCGAAAATATGCAAATATTGCTAATCGATAGTCCAGGTAAGATTCTGAATGTTTGTCAACTGGATACCATCAGCAGCAGCCTACTGTGGGAGAAAACAAACCAGCTTCCAGCTGAAGAAAAAATTGCAAAACGTCGTTGTGAGTGGTTGGAAAATTCATTGTGGAAATAATCAAATTTCATCAAGAGACAAGCGCTAACTTGTGATCTTGGTTTCTAATACTTGCATATTTTTGATGACGGTTTGTGGTGTCTGTATGAACCAATGATTCCTTTGTACGTGATGACTGCTTGATACATAATTCGTTCCCATTTAGTACTTCTCAGCTAAATTGCGTTATTTCTGGGATTTCTAGTTCCCACTATAATTCAACTACTCCTAATTATCTCACGGTTGCTGTAGTTCTCTACGTTTCAGCTGCGTACAGTAGAATTGTCTTGATGTTCGTATTGAAGACTGTGACTTCTATATTGGTTGACAGTCGTTTTGAGTTTCATATGATTTTCTGTTGTAAGAATGCTGTACTTGCTTTACTATTTCCTTCCTTTACGTCTGCATCATAACCTCTTTTTTCATAGATTATGCTTCCCAGGCGTGTGAAAGTTGTAACCTCTTCCAGAGCTTTAGATTGGTGTTCCTCCTGTTGTATTTGAGGATCTTGACTTTTTCTTTGTGTATGCTGAAGCATACCGATGTAGAAGCTTCAGCTAAAGTGGTTGTCTTGACTTGTATATGCTCGTAAGTATGGAATAGAACGGGTAGTTCATCTGCTTCCCCTAAGTTGTGGAGGTCTTCAACCACCAGAAGGATAAAGGGGAAGAGTGAGCATTTTTGTCTGACTCTGGTCCTTCTAACGTGATGCAAACCAAAAATATAGTGAATATATAAATAAAAGCATCAGAGATGCTAACCTAACATGTAAGTGAAAATGGGCAATTGTCGTTATATAGAAAGTTTACACGGAAATATTTTCGCTCAAACACGGCAATGGCCTTACACCATTTTATTGTTATACATTACACATTAAAATTGAGGTAAGGTTTATCACTTTATTCGGTAACATACATTTAGATGCGATGAGGAGTTCCCGACACCAATCTTAATCCATTACAACGGACTCCTTTTATTTCCAATCTAAAGTAGATTCCAAAAACAATGTTTAAAAATGGATTTACAAATAATTCTTTTTGCAGAACTCATCTTCAAAAGCCATATCATCATGTTTGCACACAATAAATAATACCACGAACATGTATTGTGTATTAGTACATCTATATTATTTGGATTATGATCTGTACAGTGTAAAATAAATATTTTCAGCATCAAAGGTTTATTCAGCTCTTAATATTCTTGCAGTTTCATTGTATATATGATATTACTTCATGAAGAGCATTATGATGCATTTGTACTTCACTTGATGTAAAATATACCTCGTTCCTCCAAAGATAGAATGAAAGTGAATCTATTAAATAATGTGATGTCTTCATCTGAGTACCAGAATATTTCATATAGCGATAGGTTGTGGGTATTTTATAAAAAATGAGAGTAACTACTGTAATTCACAGATATTATGAGTCAGAACTCATAGAAAATCCCTCGTTATGTGAGTATTTTTGTTTTAAAACCAACACCTAGTTATAACGCTGTCTCAATAAGTTGAATGTTCAAATTTCTTGTTTGCACCTTTCCACTTGGTTGATTTTTGTTCAATTTCATATTTTTCACAATTCGCGGATACTTTTTCTTTGGATTGAGTAAGAAATTGAACTGATACACGACTTAATAACATCCTTTATTGTAGTCTGACAGTTTCTGTAATATTAACATTAACAGGTAATATACATTTTCAGTATTATCATCAACTGTCAACCTCGTAAAATGAAATAGCCTCGAAGTAAATCTCAATAAATCACCTGTCATTTCATAGGGATGGTAACATGACGACGATGGTCTTAATCTATTATTAGAAACGACATACCAAGGTGGTGGTCTCCAGTTGCTTATGACAATTATTTTTCTGTTACCAAATGTATAAACATGTTATTTTATCAGGAAAACCAACTTCAAAAGATAGTTTTCTTAACTTCTGAGATTTATCCTCGTAATCAGTCATCACACAGCCGCACTGCATTATTGCATATTATCTACTGATCATCACTTTTCTTTCAACGAGGATTCGCTCATAAAATCTTAATTTATGACAATAACTAGGGTTTATATTCCAGGTCAGTTGATTCGAACGACTTTTAAATGACAAATACTTGATAACCAAAAGATTTTTTTTGATTTCCAGTACTGCACAGCCGTCACGCACTATTCCTAACTAAAATGACTAGATTTTGTAGACAACAAAAATAGCTGCTTTCCGATTGAAAATACAAGAAACTAATGACATTTAGCATGATTCTAATGAGTTCATAGAATTTAATGACAGCTATCATACGATATTCGGCTTTTCGGTATAACAAGAAAATACGGAACACTGTCAGCTACATAATGAAGCTCATATTCCAATAGTATGTATGTTTTGAATTCACATGAATATATATTTATTTAGGGCTTTTAGGAGTTATGTTATTCAGTGAGAAAGCTGTTTTGGTGTTGTAAAGAATTAGATAATTTTAGCTTAAAAATGCTTACGTTTAACATTTAGTAGCTATGAATGCCAATCAGGTTTCAACTTAAATATTGAGTGCTTATACCTAATGCTTAAATAATAATTAGTAAAATGGAAACTGATATGATAGAAACGAATATCCCTGTAAGTAACCTGATTATTTTACTACGGATTACAAATAAATCCAATTCCCAATCAATCAACTGTAATTTTTTTATAATGAAAATCTTCAGTTACATAATACAAGTGGATTTTACATTGTAGAAATACTTATTAACTGTCAATGTTTCAAGTAAAAGCTAGTTACGTTTCCTTACTTTGTACAGTGATAATTAGACGGGTTTGATTTACGTATAAATAAGTGTCGTAGAGTACTTTAATATTTCCTTTTTAGAACAAAAAGAAAGTGTAGATTTAAAAGTCTAACAACAACGAAAAGGCAAAAACGGCAACCATCAAATAATGTTATCTAACATAGATGGAAACTTTTAGAAATAGTAGATTTTGGAGACTGTACAATATTTATATTTTGCTTCCACAATTTACCGCCAACGCCAAGTTGGGCATCTGGATTTGATGGACCACATGGTGTTAGGCTAATATCTGCTACTAATGAGACAGATTTTGAATCGACTGTCGGAGAAATTAATTGCAATACAGATTGTGTATTTCCACTTGAATTTATATATGATGTTGGTGAATTTGTGCTGATTGATTGTTGACAATCAGAATCCGATAAATAAAGATAATATCCACGCGGAGGTTCATTCGGATTTTCAACAGTAATAGAGTTAGTTAAATGTGCACCTTCATTAGTATTAGAGACTGGAATACTATTTACTTTTAAAGATGAATTTGAGGACATCTCATAATCTGAATGAACTGAACGTATATGCCGATCTAAATTAAACCTAATTAAACAAAAAATATTATGCATTTACGTAATGATAAGAAATAGATAGCTCACAACTGGATTTTTAATACGAAAACTTTGTTATTTTATATAGAAAGTATAATGCAGATAATCCGTGAATCCAACTTAACCGAAATTTTAAAGTTTTAAGTTCAACAGTAGTGCTGAAGCTACAAAAAATTCTAGAGGAATCAATTATCTGTGGACACTTTGCGAATCAGGACAAATATAATTTCATTGCATATAGTATAGTCCTCAATGTCAGTTGCATCTTTCGTGCTATAAGTGAATAAATAGAACTTGTACCGCGAAGAACCTCAGTTAGTAATCCTTTTAACTCAATAACCAGTTTTAAGCAGAGATGGTTAGTGGTAAACAGTAGAATCCATGACGCGCTTTTTGCTGAATGCGCCTAAAGCTCAAAGTTGATATTCACATTTGGATTTAATAGCGATAACGAAGTATTCCGTACAAAGTGCACTTGTGCCAAAAGAGACTGGTCAATTAAAATCTTTAACATGAACAAAAAGATCCAAATAGCCTTGACAAATGGATTGATTAATCAATTGCATGAAAATTCTAGAAACCATTTGTTTTAAAACGGGTATTAATCTTTTCAATGAAATGATCAAGTACCACACTACAAAAAGTTTTGCTTGGAATAAATAAGTTTATTTATTATTATTTCTAAAAATAATAAGCATTGGTGCTTATTAAAAATCATTCTATATTAAATAGATTCAGTAAGATCTAGGATTATCTAATTTTGTGAATAAGTTTTTGTTCTGGTAACAACAAAACTGATCATCATTTTTAAAAATCGTTATTCACACATAACCTACACCACTTTTTGGTTGGTTGTTACCAATTTTTTACTCACGTTCTTATGTTTGAGGTCATATTGGGTTATTACATAGACAAGGTCGTTCCACCTTGATCTTATCGTCGTCGAATATTAAGTTTCTTCTACACTGCTGCCTTTCTTTTAGGTTTTACAGTTGAGGATTATGCTGAATAGTTGTGTATCAGTTGTTACTATCTCAAGTTTACAATTGATTCCATTCGCATTAGAATAATCTCGACCATTAGTAATTCACGAACTGCCGTAAAGAAAACCAAACTAAATCGTAGTCGAATATCGAGATATAACAAGGTTGTGAAAAGACTCAACGATGAAATCTAAAAGTCATCTGTTAATTTCATTCGTGAGTAATCTATAATATTCATATTTTCTAGTCATATATGCTTTAAAGGACTATCACTGACGTTTATTGAATTGCTTCATCTTTCATAAATTTTCTATTTTGCATATAAGTATGCTCTTTTCCTCGAGTAAAAATACTGTTCTGTTAACTACCCATATTGCCTTTTGACATTAATCTATTAAAGAGTTTAGGTCGTTCATTCGACATCATAAGGGGTTGCCAATTTGCCGTATTACATTATTGTGTATCGATCATTATATTTATCACTTTGGGATAAAAAAAGCATGGTAACCAAAATTTAAAACTATATTTTGTAACAAAAAATGTAAAGTATTTTTAAGAAAATATGATTACCTACTAAGTTGGATATGGCAGCAAAAGCCAATCCACAGAAATAGCATAATTGAGTGTAATAGATAATATACGCAATAAAAGAAAGTCTTTCAAACAATTTGAATGCTAGAGTTTACATCACGTATTGAGATTATTTGGATAGCTGTTGGAAACCAGAAAGTATTGGACAGATCTTTCGTACTCATACGGGACTCCTCAAGGATGTGTCCCGAATCCCACCGAGATCGAACCCGGGATCTTCAGTTCTTCAAACGAGTGCTTAACCTTCAGATCACTGAATCAAGATTAAGCGATTTCCATTTATAACTTTAAGTATTTGGTGATACCATAAAATTCAATCATTTTTATAAGCATAATTCTAATAGTATAGATTTTATTTTATTTTTTACCAAGTAGTTAAAAACTTGATGACAGCCTGAGGGAGAGACCAAAAATTTTATTCCTGCTGCCTTGAAGTATTATAGATGAAATAAAAATAACAGACACGCGAAATTACCTATTACTAAGATATTTCTCACAGATAGGGCACGGTAAACTGGTATTTTGATTATGAATTTGGTTAAAATGTGTCGTTAGATTCCCTTTCGTACTGAACAAAACACCTGAAAATCAAGCAAACCGATATAGTTCACCACATGATAAACAAATAAGTTATTCAACCGTAATTATTACAAAACAATTTCACCACAATAATATGAGTAAACCGTGGTGATTGAAATATATACTTCATAATGATAGTGTGACATATGTAGTCAAATGATACTACAATAAAGCGTAAGGGGCATTGTCTCATAATGCTATTCTTATTGAAATCATTTTTGGTTGGAAAACTTTAAGCTGTCCCTTTATCATCAACTGATTTTCAATCGTTGAGTTTTAAGTTCAACATTGTTTTGTCTACATATATTTGTAAATGGGGATAGCAATCACTAGCCTACAATACAAAACGAGGAGTAAAGCAATCTTTATTCGATTATTGGTTTGTATCAGTTACTAATATGAGAAATGTAGTGACATATTAAAAGAAAACTGTAGAAAATTATGCATAAAAATAGTAACATATGGAAAGTTGGTAGAATACCCAAACAACTGTTAAGCAGATGGTATCGTGAAAAGAAAGTCCTATTCAATTTGTCTATAATGAAAACTATCCTGAGATAAAAAATATTTCTGGATACTAATTAGTTGGAGAATAATAATGATAATGATGGGTTAGTGGTTAAAATACTGAGCTTTAAACAACTAACAGGTTCAAAACCCCAATACACCTAGTTCAATTTGGATACTTAGACAGAATCACTAGGTCTTACAAAAACAGTGTGGCTGCAAGCCGAATACGTAAACTTGTAATTGTTAAGTAAATTACACTGTAGTATAAATATTTCATCATAAATGATGCTATTCAATGTTGAAATTAACGAATAAATAAAATACTCGTTATAATTCATGCTTAAAATATAAGTGTAAACCCAGAGAATTTCACAAATTGTCATGTAAGAATAATCAATTCAAGGGCTTTTACCCATTTCATAATAAATTTTAACTTACCACAATCTTGACAAAGAAACTTTTTACCTCGATGAACATTTTTTAAATGTTGTTGATAGTGTGCCGGTGTTTTGAAGCCGACTTTACACTTCTACAAATCAATAATTAAACAGAAGTAATTAAATAATGCATAAAATAATAATACTTAGTTAAAGTGATTTGAGTAATTCAGGTAAACTTACGACCAAACGCGACAATAATCCAACCTCTAGTGTTGCAATACCTTTTCACAAAAAAGTACAAGGGGATAAACTTTTAGAGGAAAGGATAAATCGAATCTCGTTATTTGAAGAGTTGTGTTATTATAGGTCATCTAATTTCTGATAAATGTAGTGTAAGTTTTGCTTCAGGCTTTTATGATGATACATAATATATCGTTTATAATTAAGACCACAATATTTAAAAAATCATGTGTCTAGACTTGTTTAGAAATTAAACGTTAAACCAAAACGTTATTGTAATGGAATATAATAAGGCGGTTTTCATTCACTGACATAAAAGTACCTCGAAAGAATCAATAGTTCAAAAGATGTGATTAGTGATTAGATTCAACAGATAAGCTGATGGATTACTAGACCAGTAATACAATAAATGTCAGCTCGAGAATACACGAGTTACGTTATAGGGAAAACGTAACTTACGGGTCTAAAAGAGTGACACAACAAAAAGTACAGAATGCGGAATGTAAGATTCAGAAATAAAAAATTTATTGAAAAATTGTCACATCATACATTATTAGGTAAAATATAGAAATATCATTTTAAAAAATTATGTAAACAATCAAAACTAATCAAACATACTGTACAAATTCGTCGCCAATTCCCGGCACTAAAATATGTACACGAAGTTTTAGCAATCGAGTTCAGAGGTACATCACATTTTCGAAGTTGAATTTGACTATTATCATGGTGAAATGTTGGAAATACATCATTATTTTCTGGTTGATCATTACAATCATCTATACAAATATAATTTGAATGTGAAATAATTGTTTTAGTAGGGTAATTTACATTAGTTTTATGTAGAAAAGCGAAATTTTGGAAGACATTAATAAAAGAAAATCACCATCACTCGCAATGTAATGAACGGTTTTCTTAGACACAATCAACAAGTAGGAATATCAAGCGTAGATAAAATTTAAAGACCAACGAATATTAATTAGTACTATAATCACTTTCTAAAGAGAAAAATTAACAAGCTCATCAAACATTTCTTTATACTCACTCATAACCTTATATGTAAGTTAAAAACTTTTATTTATCTCTTATGTTAGAAAGAAATAGAGAACGTAAGAAGAGAATAATTTTATCTAACAGCTAAACATTTATAATCAACTGAAATTAACACAACAATATTTAAGTAAAATTGAAGATTAGACATCACACAAATTATTTGTGTTCTCGTTAAATTTACTGTTAAAACGGGATAAATTTGTAATTATCATTTGTATAGGGATGATAGCTAATGTCAAGTCAATCTGATTAACATATTCACTGAATGAAATGGATTAAATTGTTTTGCTATAAAGCCGCTTCTTTAGTCTTTCATAAAGGTTTATCTATAGGATGACTTTCTGAATTTCGAATTGATCAACATAAAAGATGACTAATTAGACTTATTAACGTAGAGCCTGGCACATGTGTCTGACCCATGTAACTATACTAAATTCGCATGATGACGTGAACATAACACGATAAAATGCAACAGAAGCCAAGATAATGTGGTAGCAATTATAATAAAAAAACCAAACATTGAGAACATTGTTTAAAAAACAGAAGAAATTGTATTGAAAAAAGAATTCAAATTCTAGAGGAAGACAAAGAGTAAATGCACCTATCCCATTATGAACAGTACTAAACCATGTCACAATCTGCAACCAGTGTTCACCATTACGACGAAGACACCAAACATGTAGTCTGTATCTGTTAATATGCTTCACTGACTTCATAGACATACGCCACAACTTGGACTTCGGTCGATTAAAATTTACATTATTACTCGACTTCCCATTTCTGACAAGTACCCTGTGCCGAACCTTAATATTACTCACTCAATTGTTTCACAATAAGCAAACAATGCTTCGAAGACACCTACGATCGAAATTCTGCGAACTACGAATGTCTTTTACTTTCAAAGCCCAAATTTTACGGCTGTATAGTAAAACAGATCTGACTGATACACAGTATATGCGCTTTTTGTTTGACAAACGAACATCTCACCTATGCGACCAGTGGCGCAAATTGGCAAAGACCAAACAAGCCTTCTAAATCCGTGCTGAGATTTTGTCAAACACCCATCCCTCATGGCTGACTAGAATTCCAAGATAAGTGAAGTGATTGACGCGCTACTTCAGATTTAACGTTGATACAGTCTGGTCCTGAAGCTATATTTTGTAGTTGAAGGCATAGAAACGCGTCCACATGTGTTTATATTATTGCTCAAGGCAATCAAAACACTACGTTTTCTCAGCATCTTGACCAAGTAAGACTAGATTGTCGGCGTATTTGATGGCGATGAGTGAACTTGTGGTAGAACCTCAACCCTCAAGAAGAAAGTGAGGTTTCTAGAAAGATATCTATGACGAAATTAAATAAAAAGAGGGATTGCGAGTAACTCTGACGAACAGCAATTTAAGCTGACAATTCTGGTGACAGTTCGCCGTAATCTCGGACTCGGCCAACAGTGTTCGAGTAGAGGGCTTTCACAAGTTTCAAGTGCTTCTTTGTCAAGTAGTTAGACTAATAAAATAGGATTATCAGACATTAACCCAAATCGTCTAAGTTTTGTTAATAAATGTGAATTTTTTTGGTAACGGGACTTAAGCAACACTTTTCATAATTCATATCTCCCTACAGTCTTTACTACTTCCGATTGGTTTTTACGACTATTAGTAGGTTTAATTCCGTGTTCCAAGGTCATGTTTCGTTAAATTGTACACAGAGATGTTCCACTTCGACTATGATTTCTTAACTTTCAAAATATCAAGTTTTATCCGCACTCCCAAATATGACAGAATCCTAAACTGGTTTTCCAGAATTCAGCTCAGAAACAAAATCATGTTAGATAAATGATGCAGTTGCTTTAAATTTTTAGATTGTACGTTAGATATCTTTCCTATATTTCATGATATACATAACATATTATATTAATAATTGCCCAGTTCATTACAATATATTTGGTACAGTAGGGAATCCCCAAAATAATAATTACAAAAAAATATCTGTTGGTAAATTTATAAATGCAGTTTGAGCTACAATAAATTTCAAAAGAAACCAGTAGTTTTCAAAAAATATGTTCAATATTCTCAAAGCATTTTACTTATGAAGAATGTTTATTTGTGCTTATTTGAATTACTGAGATCCGTTCCATAATATGCGCTGATATTAACTGCTCATTCACCAGCAGCCCACGAAACCAACATGACTGGGAAAGAGACAATCTATGTGGAAAGCACCATTGACGTGCTTATAATTTGTCCATATTCTTGAGTGAACAGAATAATAATAGATTACTCTTTGTCCTTCGACTTTAGAGGCGAACTAGTTGCTCGGTGTACTTCAAGATCACATATCTCTGCTTGTAATAATTTCCAATATAATCTTAATAAATAGAGGGATTATAAGAAGTCCTGTTAGATCAAAGAGATATAACTCAAATGCGAATTAAAATATCGTTTCCATTCCATTTAATATCTGATTGAAAATGACTATTTTAAAGCTACTTAACAATAAATTTTATAAGTAATATGTGTAAGAAAAGCTAAAGGAAAAGTATGTGCACTTACCAGGTGCAGGTAAATTCACTGTCTTGTGAGGCAAGTCCGTGGAATTGCTGTTAGCATATTGATATTGTTGATAATCGTCTTTGATTTGAGAACTAACTAATTCATCACAATCATGTATACATGCTGATTCACAATTAAGTGAAGATGTGTTATTCGGTAATATGGTTACACAATCTACACAACAACGAATTTCCGCATGTAAGCGTAAATGTCGTTCTAAAATATTCACTCGATCACTGCTAACTAGAGTTTTATTAAATGAAATAAATAGAGATATAACAATATTGTATTAAAAATTCTAAGTCGTGAACAGTAAAAAAAAACTCATTAATAAACACTACTTGTTCCTAGTATTTCAATGAGTGTCTGATTGTCACAGGGGGAGGTTTGAAGATTGATAAATTTCAAAGTTCACACAACAAACTGATTTTAGTTAGACAACCAGTGAAAAAACGGTCGTTTTTCTTCTACACACAAATGGGACATTAATTCGCTTAGCACGAGCAATGAACGACTGATCTGCCTTTGCGATTCACGCGCCCTATGCTCGAAACCCAGTTAGTACTGTTCTACCAGGCTTCAACACAACTCAAATCAAGAACAGTTGATTCACCTGACCAGTAAGTGTGTCAGCCAACAATCAACATCCGACAATCGAGTAGGTACAAGGGTATGGAAATATAATTGACACATCAAATACCTGTCAAACTATCTACCAGTCTGTCTAGGAAAACAACCAATCACTTATTTCCCTCGCCCACACAACAGTCATAGTATAAAACTGCATTGGAACCTAAAGGTTTTGCGGCTGATCCCTGGTGAGGTCATTGATGTGCATTGCTGAATAGTCGAATATTAGGATGAAATAGACGTCCAATGCTTTTGAATTTTCAGTGATTGTCTAAGATCGGACAGTGATTGGTCAAAACAAACTTTACAAAAATTAGTTTCATGATTAAATCTAGTAATTGATACAAATATTTTTCATACACATAGTTCCCTTTATCATTTTGAAAAGAGCAAGAGCAAGGATTCTAGCAGAATAGCGTGAATTCATTTTTATTTCGTAGGTCCTCGTCGGCTGCTTACAACCTGTGATATTTAAAATCATAATTACATAATGGGTTTAAATTACTTACATGAAAGAGTTTGGTTGGAAGTTATATTGAAGACATATTCGTATAGTATAAGCAAGGGTGTAAATAAAATTAATAGACTGAATATTATAAATATATACCTCATTTGAAAGAACATTCTACAGCACTGATTGTGACAACAGCTCAAACGGCTAGAAACAAATGTTTTTGAAAAGACACTTAAAAATGTAGATTTCTTCCTCATATCATTTACGCATAATACTAGAATAAAGCGATAACAATAATTTTCATTAAAATTATCAAAGTTCAACTTGAAATGCGATATGTGCAACTTGATTTGGTAAGGTTAGATTTTATTTTGATCTACTCAAATGTTAGTGAATATTTAAGTTCCTATTAAGAAACTAGTATAGATACATTCAAATAGTGACATTAAATAGAAGTATGTTTTTATTGAATTTCAATGTTTCTGAATTTTTATTTACTTATTTAAACACATAAACATTGGTACAAGGAGGCACCAAACAGTTATGCGCCGCATAAATCATTCGATTTATGTGAGGGCTAAGATACTGCCCGGGTGTCCAGACCGGAGCGGATGGTTGACTTAAGGGGTCACACCCGGAGCCTTTGACCTAAAGGTCTAATCCACAAGGCAGTGGAACAAAATCAGGACATACAATCCCATGGTAGCCGGTGACCAACAGTAGATTCATACGCCATTTGTTTCCTTGGGATCCTAGAGCCCATTTGCACCACTGGTTTGGAATAAGTGTTTGCCAACTCCCCTAGGTGGATTCTCCGTAACCACCGACCCGGTTAAAGCACCGGATACTCGCTTTCCGTCCTCTCAATTTCGTAAACAACACCCCCGCCACGAGAAGGCAGTGAGCAGGACTTCCGTGCCAGTGGTTGCATGCACGTGGCCACTTGAGAGCATTTTGAGAGGGAGAGCAGATTCACCCCACTCTCGGTCGTATCAGGGCATTTGAGGGCAATCTATGAACTACGGTACACAGGATTTTGATGTGTGGACGAGAATGATAATGATTGGTAGTTTGCTTAGTCAGACTTGTAGATAATCTGACAGGCGTTAGAAAAGTTATATACTCTGCTATTCTTATTATTATTGGTTGTTGTTGGATTGTGTCGGATTGTTGCCGGTTTTTGATGTGCAAATATATTTACGTTCTAGTCAGACTAATCACGTGTTGTGTTGAGGTCCTGTAGAATAGACACTGGGAAGGAATCTGCTGTAGATATTCGTCTAAGGCAAATTAACGTCCGATTCATAAAGACGAGGAAACTCCGAGTGTCATAACATATTTAACAGCTAACAGAAGTTAATTAATTTGGTCGTTCAAATGATCTATTAGAAAAGTTTGCATGTTCCATTGTACCTCAGCGATCTGTCCTCAGAAAAATGAATTAATACAGATATGATGAAAACTTATAATAGCATCGATTTTATTGTATAGTAAGCTAAAATTATTGTAATACATGTATATATCTTATTGAAACGAAACAATAACGGGATGCTTATTCAATTTAATTACTAATGTTTTAATTTCTCTTTTATTAATAACAACTTACTAAGACTGTAGCTGGCTTTACAAAATGGACAGTGCCAATTTTTGTCTGGTGTTTTGGTTGTCAACATGAATTTCACATAAGAATCGGAAAAATACGCAGTAGTATATGGATCTAGGTTGAATTCAATTGATGATACACAATTTGTGCACACAGGTGATCTAACAGTGAAGTATAATAAATGCATCGACAAAATTTTAAAAACAACACTTTGCAGTGAAGACACTATAAAAAAACTTCCAGAAACAGATTTACTAAAATAATATTGACTAAACTATTGAATAAAACTGTATACAACAATGAGATTTCAAGAGCTTATAGAAGAATTAGAAATAAATGTACCTTTCTACTGACATCGATTTTGAACTGGAAGACAAATTATTTAACAAGTGAATCAATATGCCGCTTTGATATTGAAAAGTAAACCAAGAACTATTTGTAATTTTTTAATCTAGGAGTCTGTAAGTTAATAAACTGGAAGCTTATCTTAGTCTAACCTCTAAGAGGTAGATTTTTTTCTAGTACTTCACCGAGCAACGAGTAAGATGCTGGGAGTGTAGTGCGTAAGTAGACTAACAACTTCATCATACCTAAAATCTTACACTAAACGTCAGTACAGAGCACTCGGTGATACTTACACGGGGGTGTGATGCTTCAACTACAAAGGTCATGCAACATTCCCATACCAGTCACTTTTATCCGCAAAGCTCCAGTCGCAAAGTACAGTGGAGTGTACCAGTCGGTAGCATATTGTACCTTTATTCAAGGTTATTATTGTTTTGGAAAGATAGTTTGCTAAAGGTTAGGAAAAATTTTAAAAACCAATTTCGTTTACGATTACCCTAATACAGTCAAGATATTAAAATAAAAGTCAACAATCAATCTAATGACCGAATACTATCTGAATAGTTAAGCTATGTCCTGATGTGAACAACTCTTTGAATAGCATTTCATGTTCAATAAATATGAGACTTATCTTGACGACCGATTAGATTTTTGCTTAGGATGATTAAAAAACACTACATTTTACCAACATCAAAACATAACAGGAACACGTTGTCTTTGATCATTATGTCGAGGGGTTTCAATCACTGGATTATATGTTTAAACTAGGCTTGATATAACAGCTTGTATTTAGACATTTGGATAATATACCCAACTTATGCAGCTAGTGCAACCAAACACTTAGTATACAAAAACATAAACATGGTTACTGGATTCCATTAGCATCTAACACCTATTATTCAACAAAAGGTCAATTATTGAAGCTACATTCGCGATACAACAATATTGATTAAAAGAAGAACGGCTGTTAGGGAATAAACTAAACGTCAAATTATTATGCTTATATGGCTGCAAACAATGGTTTTTGATAAAAACTAGAAATTTTAACTTCACAAATACTCAAAAAATAAAAGTGTGACAATAAATAATGGACTGATTACTGTAAGACACGATAATAAAATTAATGAGTACTGAATCAAGGAAGTCACAATAATCCCTAATATCGTACACACTATTTTAAAGTCTATCATGAAATTTATTAAATTTTTGCTTATGATCCAAACAGAAATAATAACACTAAAAATATTACAGAATTCACACTTACTCTGAATCAACATCCTTTAGCTGGTTCAAACTATCCAAACAATTAGCCATATGAGATTCATTCAGAGATGGAGTAGAATTTGACGGAATTGTTTGTGAATTATTATTATTATTATTATTATTATTATTATTATTATTATTATTATTATTATTAATATTATGACTGATATAATGTAATTGGACCAACGACCAATGACCTCCTTTATGAGTTGCTAGAATGAATTGTGGTAGGTTTGTGTGAGCTAAACGATTTACAATCAGACGTTGCACCTTCACAGGAAGACTATGTAATAATATAGTAGGTAGAAAACCATAATCAAGACAACAGACACAATATAATGGTAATGTATCATTACCTACATGAAAACAGGAAAATGTTTAATTTATTTATTTATTAGTATATATTACCTTCCAACGGATCAAAAAAATTAATTTCATTCATAATGAATAACCATTCAATGAAAGGGACTGATTAAATGCGTGTCTCCCCAATGAAACCTAAAAGTGGAAAGCAAAAAAATACAGATCTTGATAAAATCGAAAATTTGAACAAGTATGACCCGGACAATTTTATAATTCATAGTATCATTATTAGCAGTGGTAGTTTTTATGATTTTTGTAATCATATGACTGTTTCATGCTCAATGTATAGGTATCAAGATAACGTGCTTAATAGATAATAAGAAAATGAACGTTTTTTCATCATAGTACAGAAAACTTTTCAAAAAGTACTCGTTTACTTGACTAAACAATAAGTTATCCTTGTGGAAACCATTCCTTGAATAAATTCAGTTAGGTGACAGATGCACTCTGTATTGAATGGAATGGCATTACAGATCAATTGATTGATATCACGATTAAAAATGGGAGTACATAGTTTACCTTTCAATTACAAAAAAGTGGCCACATATAAATCGTTAATTTATTGATAATTCAAGTTAAAGTCGAAACAAGGTTCATGACATTTGATTATGATTATACTTGAAGGTCCCTTGTACCTCAGTAATATAGTGACTATGAATTGATAATGACATGATTGATGTTACAACGAGATTTGCTGAATGAATTAGTATTTCCTTGGTTCAAACAAGATGTTAATTAGTAATTACTCTGGATGAATGAAACGTTGGAATAACCGGATGATCTATAACATCCAGATAGTCGCTAAATATTAATCATAATTATCTAAAACACAATAAATCTGATGACAGGAAAAAGAAATTAAATAGAACAACCAGAAATCAGGTGGATTATCTTACTAACTGTCCCTTTATCATAGCTCAACACGGATACATATGCCTTAAATCCAAAATATGTTAATATATATAGCCTAATGTGACAAGTGTTTACAAAACTACTGCGATATCATTAGAGACATCGTATAAGCATTTATGAAAATAACCCTGTATTTTTTATTCTCCTTCCCAATGTTCACTTTCAAGCTTAAATATACTTGCAAGACCAGGTGCAATGAACACAATTTGGCAAATCCATTTCCGGATACTGGAAAGGCTTACACTATGACTGAACAAAGGATATTAGGGTATTTTTTCCTGATATCCACTCAATAAAACTGAATATCGAAAGAACTTACAGGAAGCACTTAAGACTTGCTTATCGCACAAGTCAGCTTGTTGTAGTTTCCTGAAACATTTACTGACCACAGAGTTGTTGGTATTCAACTTGATAAAGTGATGTTTTACCCAAACATAGGTGCAGAATCTCATTGTTTTGGCCAACAACATACCATGACTTTTTGATTTAACAACTATATCCAATGGACTGGGACGATGCAAAAATGATCTGTTTTCCCTATTTCTGCCAGAACTTTTGTCTCTTTGGCTTACTGTTAATATTTAACCACTGAATACTACTGTTGGATTCTATGTATTTTGTGATCAATCTACTGAAAAAGGACCAATTTACATCATAAAACATTTGTACTCTACCAGGTTGTTTTTTCACCCTAATTCTTGAGATGAAATTTATTTTGATGGTTAGTAAACTCACCACTAGCACACTTTGAGTGATATTTATTTTATTAATTATTGTAAAACTTGGGTGTTCGTGTAGATTAATGAAGGGCTAGATACTATTTTCACTAAATCAACCCTTATTATGCTCAAAGTGAAATTTTTATCTCACTGAAACGAATGATCGATAAATTTACCACAAACTTCACAAGATTTAGAATGCTAACTTATGTTTGTGCTTTCCGCAGATATAATATATCTGTTCGGTTTAAGAGTAACTCATTTATGATAGACGATAAACGAATATAAAAGTGAATAATTCTTTTGAGAACTGAACAGGTCGAACAGACTCTGTACATGTATTATAGCATACATTTATATTAGACTACTAGTATGCTAAAGAGGTTTGAATAATTTCAAGGACTCGAAGAGATAGAAGTTTTGCAGAGACGTGTAACAGAATGTATCAGAAATACTGAAGACATGGTATTATTAGTATAACTCATGCTGATTTATAAGGTAGAGAATAGACCAACCTAGGAACTATTATAAATATTGAAATAGACACTAGATTGGTGAGAAGTGGGGCCACAAATACAGCAATACAACGCGTTTTATATGTATAGCAGTTTCGATCGGCTCACACTGTTCCCTAGAGTTTTGTTTAGTGCTTAAATTTCATTTTATTATAAAGCTGTTAAATATAGATCACGAAAAGAGGTTTACCTTGATTTTATTTATAGTATATATGGTTAACTACTAAGCAATGTAACAGTGCATGAGATTTCTTTGTGATTATTGTGTAAACTTTAAGTAAGTGGTAATTACTTTTAAGTTTAGATATTATATATATATATATCGCTATACATCTATATTACCATTTGATTAGACTGAAATTCTGCTATTGATCCCTTTTTTCACTAAAGGCACCAAAATTGAACTAAAAATCAAGAGTGGCATATATTAGAAATGTACAGCTTTGAGAATGACTCATCTTCCACGAACTAATTAGACCCCTCAGCATACCACAAAGTAGGAGCGTAAGACCAGGATAGCACGGAATATTCATATAACCCAGATATTTCGTCCCAGTTTTACTCAAAATATTGACTAAGATAAATGGAAGATTCTAATAATTAAAGCTGAGCTGAGAGAAGCATCATATACGACCAGAAAACATGGCTAACATTAGGAACTGATTTTTTTCATCTATGAAACTAACATTGTGCATAAAAATACACTTATACATGTAAACACAAACATACAATGAACAAACGAAATAAAACTCCAAGTAGCAGAATCCTATTTTATTTTGTAGTAAAAAGTGTAAAGAAAAAAGAAAACAGATGATACATTGATCTAGTTAGAGAGTTTGTAACAAAAAATTCTGTACAATCTACCAATATACAGAATAGCCACCTTGCGGATCGACTAACAATTTCAGACTTTCTAATCGCCCAGCCATAAGACAATTATTTAGTTCATGAATCAATTTTTTTCTGTAATAAGATGATGAAACTTTGTAGTTTTGAGGACAACAAGATGTAAGCTTATTGAGAACAGAAGAACTAAATCCAGTTGAACATGTATGCTCACAGGATGATTGATTTATCGATGGTATGGGAATTCGATATCCAGTAGTTACATCTATAATTTCAATAAGATTTACTGCATTAAACTCTTCAGATGTTTCGTATAAATTCGAATCAAGATTATTTTTGATATAGTAAACAAGTAGTAAATCAGGTTCGTCAGGAGGGAAGAAAGGAGCAAGTATTGGAGAAGAACTGTTATGTGTACATTTTTTTTCATGAAGCATCCTATTAAGTGGAATCTATAAATAAAAAAATAACACTAGTAAAATAAGTTGTAATAAGCTTAATTTAAACTACTTCAATAACAAATCACATTTGTATTGACATTTTAATTTCTCATAAGTTATTTTCATGTTACTAAGTAAGATAAGTAGTCTTTTATGCATTAATTTGTAAAGTAACCGGATAACAATAACCATGTCGGTCATTGTACGTATTTCATCAAATTAGCTCCTTTACTCAGTAAACTACACTTGATTTGAATATTTTCAACCTTACTTCCTCAGTAAACAGCTAATAACTTCAAAACTCAACTTAAGTAATAATGCACTAGGGCCTTTACTAGTTGATGATTACACATTCAATAAAAGACAAAGCAAAGGGTATATATCTATTTCACAAATCCAACTCTTAGTTGATGGACTGGATCACACTATCAAAATAATCAGTGTTTAAATTTAACTAACGCATTTTGTATCGTATACGAATTTCTCCTAAAGATCTCGGCGGTCTATGTATCCAGGTTGTTAGAATTCCACAATAAAAAATCAATAAGAATCATTTATTTATAATACAACTAGTCAAACGATTAAAATATAATTGAATTTAACAAGCCAAGTGAAAAATTTCAAATATATATAGGGTTTGGTTACAACGAAAAAGATTTATTATTTTACATCATGTTGTAGTATTACTCACATCGAATACAACCTCTTCCAAATGCGCAAATACACGACGTTGTGTTTTTTCACTTATTCTGCTAAAATTTGAATTCACATCACTGATAACAGTTTGTACATTAGGTGCTATATACTCTTCCCATTCTGTAAGATCAAATGAAGTGTGACACTGACCAGAAAGTCGATGAACTAATAAATCTTCAGGAGATGAATTTGAATCTAAACTATCTGGACTAGTTACCATGGCTGCAGTTTCATCATCATCTGAACTACCATGTGATGAAGATATGGAAGAATTATTTCCATTCAAATCACTATCATAATCACCTACAGGATCATTTTGATAAATAGGATACATTAAATCTGATGAATTAATTAAACAGTTCATCTTACTATTATTACGTGATACTAATGCCTAAATGTGAACAAAAAACAAACAGAAAGAGTAAACAAAAGGGTGTAGAGAAAGAGCGTGTAGAGATTAAAACGTATTATATATATATTTAAAAAACGGAGATTACGGTCACTAAATAAATTTCGGTTATCCTAACAAAAAAAGTCGTTAGTGGTCGTTGGTTTGGGGAATTATTATTAATCAGCTAAACGTACTACTCTTCAATAATAATCTGAATTTAATTCGGTTATTTATTTACTCCGAAGAAGTGGCTTACATTAAGTCACTAAATGTCATAAGAAAAACTTTTCTACTCATTGAGATAAAACAAAAATATATTTATTATTAACTTTCCACCCAATGCTTAATTTATTGAAACTATCAAATCGAACCTTGACAGTGATACCTATACTACTCTTCATTATTCAGTAGCAGAATTACAATAGAAAGAAGTTGACTTACAGAAAGAAAGGTGGATCAAACGTACTTCAAATATTCTGACTAAACATTATCTTTGACATAATTATTTCCGTATGACATCGGAAAATATTTTACTAAGAATACCTAAAGAAGAACAACCT